CCATTTTAAATCCGGCCTGAAGGTCATGCATAAAGTAAAGACTAGTTTTGAAAAGTCTTGCATCTTCTAATCCTTTTATCTTAATCTTTTATTAGGTTTTATAAGTAGAAAATTTATAATTTTAGGGTCCTTAAAGAGTCTAGATTATAATTTTCACGGAATCTTAGATACACATAAATAAACAATATAAATAATTAAGGCATGCAGGCACTAAAAAAAGAAAGCACTCCAAAATTTCAAAAAACGAGGCAAAACGTCACTAGGTCGGCAACATATCCCAAGAAAGCAGGAGAAGCGGTCAGACTCCGCATATACATGCCCAGACCTAAGTCTATACAAAATATAAGAATGTCGGATTTAATGTATAGGACACGAGCTGCTGCTTTTGGTTCCTGTCACGTGGTTCAATGCATTGTACCCCTTAAAACTCATGTCTGTACCTTATTTCTGATACAAACTCAACATATGGACTATATCAAATACATCCAAAAAGAGAACAAAGACTCAACCTGCAAAGAGAACAACATTAGTGGGACAAATCATGCAACAAAAAATTGTTCATGCCTTATAATTGGGGGAGCTAATGACACCTGCAAGCAAAGAGTTAGAAATCATTACAGACTCCTCCTTATTAGCACATATGTGTGTACATATAGGCACGACACCCTACATAAGACCGCCCTAATATACTATCATGCACAACAAGCATGCAAGCACACCAAAAGCTCAAAAAGATGATGTGTGGCTAAAGTAAGAGCAAAAAAAACAACATCACTAAACAATAGCTAGAGGCATCGAAAAATCTACCTAGCATTCTAAACCCTAGCCTAACACACCATCTAACAATAATTGTACTAACCAACATCTAAGTGTGAGGTGAGTCTATAAAGGTAGTATGACTTTGACCAGGTCACCACGTCGGCCCCGCCCTAAGGATTCAAAGGATCTTAAGGTTATCACCCAAAAATCAATTTTTAAAGATTTGGCCTCACATATGGCCTAATTTGTTATATGCATTGTATCTATATATATATTACATACATATATATATATATATATATATATATATATATATGTATGTATATATTAAAATAAGGGTCATTAAATGCAGACTCGTAACATGCAAGGGTGATACAAGTTAGATCCTTAGCATAGTCATACTCATGTCAATCTCAATGACTTAACTCGTATCGCTCCTCGAGATCGACCCGACGAGCAATTTTTTGTTAAGGCATCGGACTGACACGGGAGGACCTCTTCTAACAAGTCTGGCTCATTATCCACACAAGCATGCAGATGCAAATGCAAGCAGTCAAATCACACAAGTAGTGACATAGTATACCGTGAAGATAATGACTCAAAAAGAAATAGGCATGTCATAGCGGCAGGGGCCCGAAAAGGGTATGTCGGTGAGGCAATGACCCAAAGGGATGAGCATTTCATGATGGTAAGGGTCTGAGAAGGGTATGTCAGTGAGGTTGTGACCCAAAAGAATTGACATGTCGTGACGGCAGCGGTTCGAAAAGGGTATGTCGGTGAGGCAATGACCCAAATGGATGGGCATGCTATGTCGGCAACAGCTCGAAAAGGGTATGTTGAGGCGGCAGTGACCCAAAAGGGATGGGCATGCAATGACGGCAGCGGCCCGAAAAGGGTATGTCGAGGCGGCAATGACGCAAAAGGGATGGGCATGTCATGGCGGCAGTGACCTGAAGATGGCATACCGATAAGGCAGTGACCCAAAAAAATGTGCAGCTCAAATAGATGATGATGGTCATGCAAGCAAACACACAAGGCAGGATGCAAGATGCAAGCGAGCGAGCAAGCATGTACATGCAAACACGAAACATGCAATGGTACAAGTGATTGGTTGATGGGTCGGTGCATCCGGTCGAACCAAACTGTTGTGTCAACTAGGCCAGGTTGGCCGGTCAATGCAGAGTGATGTCAACCAATTATGGACGACCAATCGAGGCACTAGTGCAAGTGTCATATGCAACATGCGACATACAAGACATGCATGTGCAAGCAATGGGATGCAAATGATCACATCCAACAGTAAGCCATGCTCGTGTTAACGATCTCACATAAAAAAACCTAGGTTTTAGCATTTGGATATCCGGCGTAGCCACCTCTTTCTTTGACGAGGTGTGTGGGTAATTTCTCCCTGGATTCCCAAAATGGGGGAATTATCCACACCGTCGTAAAATTAGGCTAGCTATAAGCTTTCCCAATTTCACGACAACTTCAAGGCTTTGCAAAGTCGCTAGCTACAAAGCTTTTCTCACTTTTCCAAGCCCAACCTCCCAATTTCTCCAAGGAAAATTTGGGTATCCAAAGCAAAGGGAGTAAGGGTAGGGCTTGTCCTAGGGCTCACAACAAATGGATTCACTCGACTCTACGAAAGGGTATTTGGCCACGCATGGAACAACTTAACCTAAAGGCTCACTCTAAGAAGTCCAGCAATCCATCACATAGGAACGTGGCCGCACCGGCTCACGCCGGCGCATGCACCTTGTGTGGGTGATTGAACCCAAAAGCCTAGACCAAACTGAACTTAAGGCCTGCTAGGAGTTTATAGAATCTCACCACCATAACTGTTGTAGACGTGTTTCTTCACTTATGAGGAAGCTCTTCTATCGGTAGGAGAGAAGTTCACGTTTCCAGCAAACTCTGGCGGTAGTCCGACAATGCTTCTACAAACCTTCCCCATGCTAGGTTGAAGCTCTCATCTGTCGTAGGAGAATGAAGCCTTGCTCCAAAGTTCCTCCTCAAGCAAAGCCTCTCACATCATCACAAGATGTAGGAAAATATGAAGAAGATGAAGATGGAGGGGAAGAAAACCCCTCCTTGTTTTTCCTCCAAGACACTCCTCCAAGGCAGCTTCAAGACTTTTAAAATCTCTTCCCCAAGAGCTTCCCTTCAAGCCCTCATGATCTCGCCTGAGAGGAAGAAGAACGAGGTGGTGAGAGGGAGGGGTTAGGTTAAACCCTTTCCCTCAAGAAAAAGACCAAAATGCCCCCAAAAGGGGCATTGAATCCTTCTAGATGAGGGCAAAAACGAAATTAGTCATCTCCTTTTAAAGTTCCTAGGCAAAATGGTGGCTTACGGCGCCTAAAATGGCTATTTTCATGATTTGGGTCGCAACTGGGCATAGGTACTAGGGGTGGCGCCTAGGCGCTAAACAGCGGCGCCTAGCGCCGCCAGACAGCGGCACCTAGCGCCGCCAGATAGTGGCGTCTAGGTGTCGAACAGTGGAGCTTGAACGTCAGACTCTCGAGAAACACTTGTTTTTTGCTTGTTTTGGGCGCCTGGGCGCTCGAAAAAATGTCCAAGTGCTACAATCAAGCCTTAGACCTTGAAGGGCTTCTGCCATATGGTCCGAAAAGGTATTTAGGCACGTGGGCCTCCCCGGGATAGCCCCGGGCTGTCGGTCTATCCTGAAACCCTAATTTTCACCAAAAACGTCCGACGAAAGATTTTTTTCAATCTGGAAGCTATGAGTGACTTCATGTGAATGAAACATAATCATATAACTTCAACATAGAGTATTTTGGTCGGTTATTCACCAGAGAAATCAGTGCTAACGGTTGTCCTGAGTCGCGGCGCGTGTGGGTGTCCCAAACCCTAATTTCCAAGTAGCACACGTGGGCAGACTCCATTACTTCCTATGGTCGTGGGAGGTTCCAGATGGACTTGTGGTGTTTTCTAATGATCAAATTAGGCACCAACCACACCTCACATCCAAGATGAACCTCCCGGAAGAAATTTTCCCGAGAAAGGTCAAATCGCCACCAAACCTAGCCACTTGCCCCAAATAAGTGCTAGAATGACCCGGGTGGATGTCTTGAGCTATTGGATGCTACAGACTGACCATAGACCATCCTAAGGCATGTAGGTGGATACCCAACACTATTGTTTGTCATCATTGGTGTATTATCACTCCATTCATATATATATATATATATATATATATATATATATATATATAGAGAGAGAGAGAGAGAGAGAGAGAGAGATCTTCTTGCTTGTAAAAGTTCAATTTTATTAAAGGTACCGTGGGTAATGAAGGCCAAATGTTTTTTACTTTCAAAGGTGAATTTTATGTTTTGTCCCATTGAAATGAAATTTTCTATTGGTCACTGAATCTATGCAGGCTTTGCCAACACGAGCTTGAAACATACATTGTTTCTTAAGAATAAATAGTTTATGTTTGTTGTTATATTGGAAACAAACCAAAAATATCAAATTCAACATAAGAACATTAAAGAACAACCAAATATATTTAATAACTATATTATAATTCATATATTTATCATTTTTAATAAAAAAAAATCAAACAAAAATTTGAATAACCACCAATGTAGATTCTAAGATCGAATAAAAGAAGTTAAGGTATTTTTAAATCAATTAGTTTGTTTAACAAACAAATACTTCATATTTGAAGTATTTGAAGCCAAATATTAAAAAGACCTTGCTACATCCCCAGATTCACCATCATCTACCCTTGAGCCAAATGTACAAATTTACCATTATTCAGCCTAAACATTTTGAGTTTTGCATCAAGCCAGGCGAGGCTTGAAGCCTTGAAGCCTTGAACCCATCATTTTACACAAAAGACAATCAATCCACTGAATTATGACAATAGGCCATTTATGATTGATAGGTTCAGCTTATACAAAGAGGTCCTAAGCCTTGAAGAAGCCTGAAAGCAACAAAATTTTATCAATTCAGCCTACTCCCACAAAAACATTAATATCCTCTTGTTCCAAATATAACAGTTATGTATCCACTAGTTCACAATGCTAATGGAAAGCAAAATAGGAAAAAAAAAACAAAAAAACATAACTACACTGTTATATATATAATCTGCATCTTAATGTTGTCTACACAATTCAGTACAAGATCATGAACCAACATCCTGACAACAAAACTAGCCATGACTATCTTAAGTTATCCAAGTCATTTAAAACACGAGATACATGCCAGACATAAGTAGGTGTGCTGAACAACCCATCAAATCAATAACAAACCCATCAAATCCATTGTCAAGTATTATGAACTATGCTTTTACTTTCTTGCTAAGAGGTTTTGGATTTTCTTCCTTCTCAACCTCTTCTTTCTCTCCATCTTCGCTGTCCTCAGCCTCGTCCGCCATCTTGGTTAGCTCTTCTTGTATCATTTGTTTTATTGCAGATTTTTTCGATGTTAAATCCATCTTATAGTGAGTTGCTGGAAGAGATGACTTTCATTAGAGCAAGACGAACATTATAAACAAAAGAGAATCATTACTTTAAAGAAAGCATACCGAGATTCTTGAGAATATCCGTAAAAGTGGCCTGGAATGAATAAAGTGATAATAACATATCAAATTTTAGAAATGAATACCAGATGATTGAGTTATTGAGATAGAGAAACTAAAAAAAAGTGATGTTTTATACTGATGCAACAATACCTATACAACGGAAACAAAAGCTAAATACTTTCTGAATTTAACTGTAAGTTAGTAGCTCCTGTCAAAGAGTATCCAGTGTTTCTGTATTTGATTCACATACTAACAAACCGAAACTTACCGTATTGAAATCAACTTCCTTCAGAATTTCGCAAATGGTTTTTCTCAGATCAGCCTTGGTTGGAGCGGACTTTCGTTTCTCGCCAGTAGCTTTTCCCTTCCCTGATTTTTTACCTTTAAATACAAAAATCAGATTGAAAATCAAATATGAACTAAATAACTTTTTTTTAGAAAATCAATTTAAAAATGGATGCATTAAGTATCCAAAAAACACATCAGTTAAGAAACAGATGGAAAAAAATAATAATTTAAAAAAAAAAATCAATTTAAAAATGGATGAATATCCAGAAAACACATCAGTAAAGAAACAGATGGAAAAAAAAAATTTTTTTTTTTTTTTGAGCTAGCATGTAATCAATCGCTTCAGTGAAACAAAGGACTGTGCATGCAGTAATAGAATGTGATGGGCGGTTTTAAATCATGAAAGCCTATGATAAAAGAAAGGCACTTGTAAGCAAGCCTAAATGTTACAACATAAATTTGTTCATTGAACCACACCAGCTTAATGAAATTCATAAAAATGACATGACATAAATGGTAAGATTTATACAGCATGTCAGAGGTTCAAGACAACTTAAAAGAAGGGAGTCACCTTAATAATTTATAAGAACATCACTTGAATATGAATACATAACAATTATAATTTTTTTTTCTATTTAAAATGAAATAAAGATGCTTACCAGAAGAATTATCCTTCACACTTGACTTTGAGTTTGACTTCTTAGTTGAATCACCATCTTTTTTCTTCCGTGTAAATACCTTTTCAGCCGCAGCATCCTTCTCAACCTTTGCTGGTTTGTAGGATGATGGTGCTGTCTTCACGGGACTCTTAGCAACTGTTTGTGAAGAACTCCTCTTTGAGTTGCTCCCTGTTCTTTTCCTCTTCTTTGAAATAGAAGAACCATGATTTTTTGGGGATTTTTCCGATTCATCAACATCCTCATTTTCTACCTCATCATCACTTGCTTCAGGTGATTCACTGCCTTTCTTTTTCTTCCTAGTGAAAACCTTTTCACCAGTATCATTCTTTTTAACCTTTGACTGTTTGGAGGATGGTGGTGGCTTCACGGGGCTTTTTGCCTGTGTCTCTGAAGAAACTTGCTTATTGTTGCTCCCCATTCTCCTCTTTTCTACAATGGCAGGGCCTTGATTTTTGGGAGATTGCTCCTTATCTTTCTTTCCTTTTCCAAATTCATCACCATCCTCATTTTCACCTTCATCACCGCTTGATTCGGATAATTCATTTTCCTTCACATCACTCTCAGAGTGCCCGGGGGCATCATCCGCATGAGGATCACCATTTTCTGTGTTTTCTTCCTCATCATCTTCTGTATCACGTGGATTCTTGTCACTTGACTTGGGCGTGCTTTCCGCCTTGGCACTTCTCTACAATATTTTGCGTCCGGTGCAGGTAAATATTAAAAAAAGAAAAAAAATAGTTAATATAACTAAAACAAAATAAGTAAATTTACACGCATAACACAAAATTTATATGTATTAATATATCTAACACCCAAAGTTTGATATTTAGGTTCATAACACTTCGGTGTCATAAACCTTGCATGAAAAAGTGTATTCCGCTTTCAAACAGTAAGTAATAGTTGCATTTTTAATGTAATATTAAACGTTTGAGTGTTATATTACTATGTAAGCAAATATGAAATTTTAGGAGTTGTGTGCATGAATGTAAATGCCCCAATAATATATTGACATGCACAACTCCTAGCAGATTTATTACACGAAGTTCATATAATTAGAAAAGAGGAAAATAATGACAAAGCACCCCTTATGTTGCATACCTTCCTAGACCTCTTTGCAGGTGTGCCTACTGAACTCCTTGATCCACTGCCCTCGGAATATTGCTTGCGCTTTCTAGATTTCTCTGACTACAACAGAGAACACGACGAGAACATTACAGTCCGCAAGTATAGAAGGCACAAGTACAAAATCCAATATGAACAAGGGAGGCAAACCTGCTCCCTGTCTGCAAGTATGACATCAGTAGTTGCATGAGGAGCTTCCAAAAAATCAACAAGCTTCACTATAATTTCTTCCTGAAATCACATAGCAGTGAAAGAAATAAACTGTCATGATCAATAGCAAAAAAATATGAAGAACACTGAGCAGCCTAGAGTTATAGACCCTAATATTAATTAACAAGAGCCACAAACCTTTTTGGTGTTAGTTTTAGATACAGACAAATCAAACAAGTCACATAGATCTAATAAATTGTCTTTAATGCACTTGTCAAGCTTCTCCTTTATCTTAGCCCTTTGTTTTTCCTGTGAAAAATTACAAGAACTAATATAAACACATCAACCCATTGATTTATAAGAAAAAGTGGAAGAAGATGTGCAGAAATTTAATGGCAGGAGTCGAGCACAACTTATAAGAGATGAAACATGACTTCTAAAGCATGAGAGGACGTTTACCTCGGCCTCATGCCAAGCAAACCCAGAAAACTGCAAAATGTTGCTTTTAAAATCAACTACCTGAAAAAGTATTATTGCAGAAGTAATATAGTAAATTATCAATAGGTACTAATCCAATAAAATGTATAACAACAAACCAAAGCCAAATAAGTATTCTAAGCATTTATAATATACAGTGGTAAAAATTCAAATAGCATAGGTACATCACAAGCAACATATAATCCTCCGTAAGAAGCTCCCCTGTAATTTCTAGTGCAATTCTATATCCATGTTTGCTAACAAAGCTGAATGCAGATTCCAGAAGCAAGCAAGTTACAACAGTACAGTGATTCTAAAACTCTTGTACAAGAGAGATAATTTATCAGTAGCAGGTAAACAAGCTAGAGAATTTTAACAGTTTAAAAAAAAAAAAAAAAAAAAAAAAAAGTAAAACAATACAACAAAACAAAAGAAACCGTACGAACAGCTTGAGTTAACTAAATCTTTCTGGCTGATATGCAGTATAAAAAAGAAAAAGTGGATCTTTCTAGCTTATATGCAGCATAAAAAAAGAAAAGTTCAGTCAAAATTTCGAACAACCTTTCCTCTTCTTCCAAAAAAAGTCTGATGCAAGAATTTCAGATCAGCCGGCTTCTTCCTTGCTAACTTATACGCCACTACATAGCAATGCAAAACACAAGTTAGTAAAGAAGAATAGCAAAAAGCCTAATCACACACAAAGCTTGATGTAGTGTAAACCACATAATCTACATGGAATATACTTAGCTCCCTCCACAATGTGCAAATATTAAAACCTCCCAACAAAAGAAAGTTCTAGCAGAAAAATGCACATTATATCCCAAAAACTTACTAGCGGAGAAAACTTCCTCTTTATTTAGCCTAATTAGTAAAAAAATTCCTAAGAAATATAGAATTAATTCTATCATATAAAAGATTAAATTCTGGCTATGTTTGTTTACACTTTCATGGAAATTTGACAGTCATATAATTTCTCATAACAGAGAGAAAAAAAAACTCTCATCCCATTCATCCAACAAAATTTTCACTTTCTGGGAAAAGCTGATTAATGACTACATAAAATTATGACCAATAATAAACAAGAGCTTGGAGCAGAATTCCAAGACTTTATCAACAACGGGAAGAAATTAAAATCTAAAGGATAAATAAGACAAAGAACAGGTTTAATCAAGCACAAAGTATCACAGATAATAAAAAAAAACAAACCTGCATGATAGACTTATTGTCCTGGATTCTGACAAGGGCCACTCTATAAATCAAGAATGCAATTCAAAGAAGAAAGACTAACAGGGCCATTTGGTTCACTGATAAAAGAGTGGAAAGTAAATGGAATGAAGGGGTTATTAAGGTTTAGCTATTTCATTGGATGAAAATTTATTGCTAATTAATTTATTCATGCATTTGAAATTCACCTTTTAGTTTACTTTCAATATCATTGGAATTCGCATAATTTGGCCAAACTCCAAATACAACGAGCATGTGAAGCTTTACTCACCACCCATAACTATTGCAGCAGACCACTTATCACCGCAGGAAATCTGCCGCCACCAATTGTTGTATCCCAGTCTACACCTACCGCCAACACCGCTCACCACCCATAAGCACCACATTTAAAAAAAATTATTTCAAAATAAAACAAAAAAGCGAATTCATGTAGTTATTTTACACTCTGACTAAACCACTTTAAAATATTTCAAATTAACCATACTTATTTTATTATGCATTTTTTAAATGCATATTCTTTTTTTCAGTAAACCAAATGCCTTCTAAAATACAAGTTATGTAAGTCAAAATCAAAGAAAATTATTCTAAACAAAAGCCTCAACTTTAAATTTATAATCAATTATTGTTGTTGGTAATGCTAATGAAAGTAACACCAACATCTTTAATAAGTCTAAAACCAGTTAACTTAAGATGTTGTAACTGCCATGATTGTTTTATGGTTATATTATAGGGGCAATAGAAGTAATATCTTTGAAAGATTAAAATAGTGAAAACTAGGTTCCGTGGTTTGGAGTTCTTGAAATGGTAGAAAATACACCCATAGAATGGGTTGATGAAATTCAGGCCAAAGGATTATCAAGGAAGATAGCTCAACTAAAGATAATATGATAGACATTTTGCAAAATAAAGTTTCATAAAAATACTTAAAAGGAATGAAATGAGAATGTGAATATTATTCAATCTTAGTTTGGGAATCTTAGTAAAAAAAAATTATAAAAAAAACAAAAGAGGTAGGTAGGAATGAGCTGGAAGAAAAAAAATGAACTATTAGGCTCAAGAAAGTAAAGGAAATAGGAATGCAGAACCATAAGCCAAAACCATTGACTCTCCTTAAGGCCCACTATTTCTAGATAGGGTTCTAAGATCTCAAGCACTTCAAAAAATGCTAATCAAAGAGCTATATGTATAATAAAAAGACAACAAAATAAAAGAAACAAAAGGAAGCGTGGCCATAATATAAACTCGGATTCAAACTAGTGGTTGGTCGTTGGGCCCAAAAGAGTTGCTAGGTACCCTGATGATAGCTGCCAAATAGTTCTATCCCGGATTGATGGAGGAAGTCCAATTAGGATTTTGGGTGAGTCCTTTGTGAGCCTAAAATAAATATCCCATTCTTAATCTGACCAGAAAATTCACTTGAATGCGACTAACAAGGCCGCTGGGATCTAGCTGGCGAGTCTAATTGGACACATCAATGAGCCTGAATTGGCGAGCTCGCCTACTTGCATTTCATATGAGCAAGTCTTCCCTTGAGGTATACATATAAATGAAGCCTAATAAAAATAGTTTAATAAGGCTAATAATAATAATTACAATGACCTCTTACTCTATGAATTGTTTAATAGTACTCTGAGCTCTCTAAAAATGAATTTGCAATGGTTGGAATCACTTGCTTCAAATGTTTGAAGAACAAGCGGACAATCTCTTCAAACATAACACAAATTAAATAGATATTAGTGGAAATAATTGGTATACATAGAGGATGTGTTAACTTATAAATATAAATGGATAGTGAAAGCCTAAAAGAATAAACCCTATTTTCACATAATCTAATTAAACAGGAAGCATTTAAAATAATTTAAGTGTAACTTCATGACATATCATAATGTTTCCCTCCATCCGTACTGTTCAGGTACCAACAGTTAATCTTGCTCTACAAGTAAATAAGCATGCTGTTGTAGTAAAAATAGTTGCAGTAAAATATCATAACAGTCCCTTAGGTAGACAAAATCAACTACCAGTTGGTAAATTTAAGGCAGTGAGTTGATGGGTATGATTTAATAGCAATTAAGTAATGCTTTAAGGCATATCAATTTAAACTTGCATTGCTTAACTAGCAGGTATACGATCCTTAATCAACAAGGTAAAAGTAAAACAAAGCATACACTACCAAAGTTACAATTAATCCAGCACTTCTTATCACATCAATATTAACTTTTGTTGTTAATGATGTTACTTGGCAAAGTGAACCAGACTCCACTGCATGTAATGCACGCCAAAATACCATTGCTCTAGAAAATTTAACAAAGAAAGCAATATCCTCACATATTATTTATCTATTAAATTGAAAACTCACGGAATAACCAAGTTAAAAAATAAATAGATCAAAGAGGTTTCCTGTGAAAGGTAAAAACATTGACAAGCATGTTCTACATGATTTAAGGAAAAATAGTCTAATGAAAGTAAAGATCTATGCAACAACAGAACACAGAATATCAAACAAAACAAAGCCCAAGTAAGCAAAAAGGAAAAAATCGGCTCGAACAACCTCATAGAGGCATTGGGCCCATATAAGAATTTGAAGTGTTTAAACAGTTGATGTTTCTAGAATTGAGTTACATTAAGATATAAATATAGATGGTTGTTGTAAAAAAGAAAAACCAAGGCGTTAAAAAATTATATGACAAACAATGGCATGGTAGAACTGAATGAAGATAACATCCAGTTACCAAATAAATTCAGCAAAAGGCTGAATATGATTTCACTTTGGTTCCCATTGTAGGCATCAATGTACCATAATAAAAGCAAGTATTTTAAACTTGAAAAGTTTAATGTGGGCACAGGTTCTAATAAAGGACAACTGCATCAAATAGAGCATGCACTTTGAAACATATTCATAAAAATACATGTCGAAACAAACCTATGCTCTAAACCAACTGTTAAAAAAAAATTCATCACAAATCAGAAAGCATGAATGCAACTTGCCTAAAATTAATGAACATGCCTTGTTAAGACAATAAATAAAAAAAACATTTGGTAATGTTCGCGTCCAAAAAAGTAAAGATAATATTGCAATGAATCATAATAGAGGCGTTAGAAATTTCCTAATAGCTTTGTTACATTTTAGGCACCGAAAAACACATTTCAGATGACAGAAAAGATTCAAATGGCATATTTGATATAATAATACATAACAAGATAGAGAATGTTTCCTAACATTAAGAGATAGAAGCCTAATGAAAGTAAATACATATGGAGTGGTGTGTGAAACAGAAAGCTCAGATACTTACATTCCAAGTGAATAAAAAAAATTTTAAAAATTAAAAAACAAAATAATAGCATCATGAAATATTCAATAGGATACTGTTGTAAGTAAGACAAGTGTGACTCATACCATTGGGTATATCTTTTAAGGGAGTTCCACGGCCCTACAAATGACAACATTGGCGGACGTTGAATATTCATGACACAATAATCAATTGTATATTTCTAATAATAATATAAAAACAAAGAGCAAACACGAACCTTCTCTATGATGACAGCCTTATTGGGCTCTTTCTCAATAACTTCTACCAATCTCTCCACAGTTTTCCTCTCACGCACAGGACGCTCCCTAGAAGAGCCAATAGGTGATGACAATGCATCAATAGTACCACCCATCAACCCATTTTTTTTACCACTTTCTTTCTTTCCCTTTGCCTTGCTTTTGTCCTTCACTTCGCCTTTGTTGGCAGATCTTTGTTCCTTGCTCCTTTTCCTTTTGGAAGACTTTGCCACCTTCTTGCTACTATTTTTCTTTTCTATATCACCATCGTCATCCTCTTCCGCAGCAGCATCCTCTTCATCAGAAATATGCACTTCCTTGGCAATATCCTTCTCATCTTTGAAACCTCTAATAGCAACCGTTTCTTCATCCTTCTCATCAACAACCCTCTTCTTCCCAACTTCAACCTCAACCTTTTCAACATCTTTGGGCCTCTTTTTTACTTTCACTTGTTCAACGCCTGCTACAGGCTTTAAATTATTTTTCAAATCATTTTCACCATCCAAATCTCTTTTTTGTTCATCATCTTTAATCCCTAGCCCAGTCTGCTTATTTTTACCATACATCAATTGTTCCGCAAAGTTGTCATCTTTGCGAACCTTACCTTCTACAACCTGAATCTGCTCAGAACCTTTTACATCACCAACATAATTCTTCTCACTGTCATCTTTCACATCACCTGAAGCTTGCAAATTATTTTTACCATAAATATCTTCCGTCGCCATTGCAACATTCTCCTCGGCATCCATTCGTTCTTCCAAAGCAATTTTGTGTTCATTGTGCTTAGTTTCTCCAATAAGCTTCTTCCTTTCTTCATCCTTAGTTTCCCCAAAACCCTTATGCTCCTCCCCGTCAAAAGCATTCACGACCTCCTTATTTATGCCGTCTTCTTTAGCTTCCTTTGCATCCTTTTGTCCCCCCAATAGTTCCTTCACCTCAATTTCACTAGCCTCCCCTGCATCTTTCTTTTCCTCCCCATCCTCATCATCATTTACATCATCATGTCCCTCCCGGTAAACGGTTTCCCCAAAACCTTTATTTTCATTTGCTGCCTTAGTTACCGTTGCATCCTCCTTTTCCTCCCTATGCTCACTCTCCACTAACTCCTTTAAATCGTCCACATCTCTCATTTCTTTACCATCCTTAGTGCTCCCAAGATCCTTCTTTTCATCAGCATTGTCAATTATTTCTACACTCTTCTCATTTTCAACGTCCTTCACTTTCTCCACATCCTTCAAATCCTCAACTCCATTCCCTTCCACTACCACTCCCTTCACTTCTTCAACACTCTTCTCCTCTGCATCCTTCTTGCTTATCCCACTCACATCTACCTCCCCATCTTTCTTTTCAGTTGAAACACTTGTTGAAGGAGCATCAGGCGGATCAAACCCATTTTCTACTAAAGCTGCTATTGAATCTGATGCTGCCTTGGAATCAGCCATTCCAGTAAGTGCAGCTACTAAAAAAACCTTTTAGTATATAAAAACACACCCAACAATTCAAGAAGGCTTCTTCTAAGTTCTGCACCTGAATCACAAAAGACAAAAGCAAACACAACTCCATATCAGCACACATATACATAATTTAAAGGTCAAACCAATCATTCAAAACAAAGGAAAACTAGGCAACGCAAAGGAAATAAAAAACATATATATAATGGAAATCAGTAAGCATTGCAAGCATTAAGGAACAGCGTTGTCTACCGCATAATTCAGTTTGCAAAATTGAACTTTTAACAGGCTATACGCAAGCTAATCAAAGTATTAAATCGCAAACCCTAAGTTGAGTGAAAAGCAACTCAAATCACTACTATCAGAAAGATAAAATTTTTATAACATTTGAAGCATCAATTATTCCACTACAACCAGGAAAATAATCAAATAGCCACAATACTCCACATTAACCGCTCGGATTCGATCCAAGGCATAAAAGCAGAGACCTAGGACAATCCTAACAGCAAACAAAGAGAAGAAAACGAGAAAGCAAAGATTGCAAAAGTCCAAAAATATCAAGCAGAAGAAACTAGAACAACTCCCTAGTACTCCCCAAACCCTAGCTCCCAACTCCCACGGTCTCCAAACCCTCGCAGAAACAAAAAAAGGCAAAAATTTGATGCAAGAACCCTAAAAATTTCCATCATATAAAACATCGGAGAGAAGGAAAAACTGCTCACAAGGTAACACTGAAGTTCGCGCAGGAAAGTGACGAGTCCCCGCGGAGAATTCGTGCCTCGCTCTGCTTTCGCCCGTTCGGTGAAGACCAAGAGGAGTGGACTAAAAAAAGGATCTTTTCCCTCCACGCCCAAAAGTTTTGAGCCTTTTCTCCATTTTGCCCTCCCTTCTCATTCTGTTTGTTCGGCTCATGTTAATTCTTTTAAATCATTAAAGATATTTAATTTATATTTTAAATTGATTTAGAGGAAGTTTAATTTTATCTAGGCCTGATTTAAAATCAGTTTGTAGATCAGATCTAATAAAAAAGAATAGTTTTTACAACTAGGGCGGTCCTAAAGGATTTTTGTTTGCAAAGAGCTCTTGTTAACATTTTTTTTTGTTTGATATATAAACGAGTCGAACATAAAAAATGATAATTTTTAACAAGTCGAGTCTGGGCTCACTCAAGCTCAACTTATTTGCATCCCTACTTACAACTGCTCATTTGACACAATCCAATATTGATCCATGCTAAAAATCGGCTCAATCTTTAATTAGTATTTGAGTTAAAATCTAAACCTTACACCTATGTATGGATTCTAAAATGATTCGGGACCATTAATTAAGATTAGCGTTGTGAGATATGTGATTATGGATATCTTTGGCATGAAAGTACATCAATTAGGTAACTCCACAAGCTATCAAGGAGTAATATTAGCAAGAAACTCATGAATCCCTATTTTTTTGTGATTAATATGACTTTAAAAAGTTTATAAGACAATTTGACATGTTATGCTAGTAAAGGGGTGCCTACATAGGGAAAAATTCAAAAGCCCTTAGCTGCTTGGTGATCGAACAACCCTATCCCAGCCCATCTATTGCTTACATGAGGTCCTCCTCATCATCTTCACGACCACACTAAACAAGTCTCCCATTCCAAATAGATTTCTTAGCTTTTTTAATCATTTCATAGAAACTCTTCCTATCAAGTCCCAACAACCTTAAATTTTCTATCAATCACTATTTAAATCAAGTTGCTTATAGAAGTGCACCATTGAGTTTTATGTTTATATTTGATATGCCACCAATAAATTTTTATCATTCGGCATGAATCTCAAGTGTGGCACACATCTCAGGATAATTTTTTAGCAAGTAATGTTCAAAGTCACATTAAAAATTATCCAGAGCTTCAATTTCAGCAAACTTATAATCAAACTGAACAGCTCGATAAGATGAACTCAACAACACCAACATTGATCATATCCAAGTCAAATCAAGCCTATATCTAGCCGTTAAACTACTTTGAAAATTTTGTGTGCCCAATTGAAAGATCAAACGAATTCCAAATCTAATAACTTTATAATGAAATTGAGTGTCTCAATGAAACAAATCCAATGATCCTAAGAGCACTCAATTAAGACACTGTTAAGGTGTTTAAATTATCACAGAACACTATGAAATCAATAGGATCTCTCTAGGTTTTCTTATGGATTGGTACATATTCTTTCATGATTTGTCAGACAGGTCAAATGAGTGTGGTATCCATTAGTTGTCAGTGTTACTAAGAAAGAAAAATCGTCATGAAGGATAATTCATCCATGTACTTTGTTAGTTGACCTCCCAACAACAACGTTTGTTTTCCACTGGAGTTATTTACCTTCATGTGTTTGTCAAGGATATGGTTGAACTTTGGTCGACCTCTTTTTGGTCAGCCGTTTCTTGACCAAAATATTTTCGATCCTTCCATGTGAAGACATTCCATGATGATAAGGTTGTTGAGCTTAAAAGAGTTCTAAAAGAGATTGAAGTAGAGAGAGAAGAAATTAAAGAGCTTAAAGAGAACACTCTGAAAGGTTTACTGAGACCTATTTCTCCACTAAAAATTGACTTGGAAAAACCACCACCTCCATTTCGTCAGAAACTTTGTCAACAAAAGTTGGATAAATAATTTTCAAAATTTCTAGAAATCTTTAGAAAGATTACGATTAATATTTCATTTTTTTATGCCTTAGAACAAATGCCAACAATGTAACGTTTATGAAGGATATTATTTACAAAAAAATAAAGTTCAAAGATAATGAGACTATTGCACTTTGTTGGTCGCCAAATTGAAAATTGTCGGTTATCGGGTTGGATATCCGGACACCCGATTTAATTTAATTTACATATATAATTTGAAAAAAATAGTATTTTGAATTTTGAAAATATAAGACCTGGCTGATCTCATATTCCCATTAGTTTAAATAAACTAGCCAAATACCGCAAGTACATATCCATCCCAAAGGATAAACACACTACTTTCTGGTAAGACTCGATTAAATAAACTAAAGATTGTATGACATTCGTTTAAGTCTGCGAAACCATTTTTTATTATAAGCCGGCAAGTTTCATTATTTAATATAAAAAATTAAATAAGTTATATTAATCTAGGTTCAGAAAAACTTTCTATAAGTGCAAGCCTCTATAGTTAATTGTATCCTAGATAACTGAGGTCACCTAAGAAAACTCTTGATAAAAATCAAGAGATATTATCTTCAAGGAGTTCCAAGGAATAAGACTTTTAAACGAGATTGGAAAAAGATGTGTGAAAGGGGAATGACTCAAATTTGTAACATTTTATTTTGGAATCCAAAGGAAGAAGAACTAGGGGATGTCATAGATCCTGAAGAGAACTTCAATGACTTCACAAATTATCCAACTGTTTAGCTTCAGTTTTGGGGAATATAATTGTTGGAACTAGGGGATGTCATAGATCCTGAAGAGAACCTCAATGACTTCACAAATTATCCAACTATTTAGCTTCAGTTTTGGGGAATATAACTGTTGAATGTTTCATGCTGCCAATTTTATTAATGAGGGCTTATATTCATGTGAAATGATCACACGAATAGTCTGGAAGATGTGAGGATTTAAGTCATGACAAAAGATAACCTCAGAATCTTAAAATAAGTTAGGGCTTATATTGTATAGCATAATCATACAAAGGCCTAGAGAAAAGTTGAGAATTTATGTTGCATAAGCAAAAAACCTCGAAGTCCTATTGATTGTTGTTTAATTCTACATAATGGTTTAGTTGATGTACACTTGTTTTGCTGTTGAAGATGGTCGTGCTGCCCACAATGCTAGCTCCAAGCTCCTCGTCGTAGCAAATTTAAGTTTTCTAATGCGTCAAGTTATGATTTCAAATCAAATGTTTCATAAGTTTATAGTTATTCAAATATTATGGGTGATGCTAAAGTTGATTAGAGCGACACCGGTTAGGATCTCACGGTTCCCTCGTTCCAACACCACTATTTTCTTTCAGATTCACTTAGTCCAAATGAATTTACTAAACTCAATTTAATGAGTTCATACTTTCATTTAGACCATGAGAAATCTCGTTAGCAACCGTAGGTTACCTCTTCCGAGGGATTCCCGATCATCCGATATATATGTTTTAATTTAGTTGCAAATTTTGTTTTGTTTTGTTTGTGATTAAATTTTAAGTTGTCTTATATTTTGAATGTTGTGGCGGTGAATTTTATCTTGTTTGATTTTAGTTTTGGTTTCAGTTTGGTGGTTATTCTAAAGGTTTTGGTTTTGACAGCAAGGTGACATCATTGTTTAACATGCAAGTTCACAAGCAGGAAACAATATGTAAAAGTAAATAGCAATGCAATAACTTAAAAGCGTATCTGTTGATTCTTCTCGTTCCTCCGCCTGAAAGTTCAGTACTTGTAAGGCATATATCTATATATATCATATGATTTTGCAGAAATCGCAACATGCTTGTAGTAAAAATAAGTAATATAGTTTGAGGTGTGTCTATCAGACCCCATATCCTACGTTGGTGGGTCCAAATTTTGAGGATGATTTCATTAAGCAAATCATAATAAGTACATATGTCCTTCAAGATTTCCAAAGGATCATGAAGACGCCCTAGGTAGTACCCTAGACATTTCATAGTCCTTTGAATCGTCTCGAGTTCATTTTGGTCTTATTATGTTTTCTATATGGTTCATCCAGTTCATACCCTTATGCTCAGTGAACTTTAATGTTTTGATTATCTCTTTTAGTGGGGTAATTATCACTTCATGTCTCATTTATGAGTTATATAGGTAAATGTCTTTAAGGATAACTCAACTTAATTAAGGGATTTAATCAATTTGATCCTTAAGAATGGACTTGTAGTGTTTTAAGAAAATTTCAAATTAATTATGTGTTATTTTCTAAACCTCATTAGGCAAAATTTTGATTAAACATAGTTTACTACCAAGCCCTTAAAACTTAATGGGTAGATTTGTAACTTTAGAAAAAGATTTAAATGTTTATACCTTTAATCCTTATCATGAATCATAATTCATTTAAAAACCATTAATTGGGGCATAAAATCAGTGAGTTATGATTTTCCAAAATCAACCCCCTCTCAATTAAGATCATTTATTATCAAGCCTTAAATTCCAAAATTACCATTTTTGCCCCTAAAGCCTTAACACCTCATAATTCATTAAATTAAACTCAAATGACTTGAAAATTCTATATTACCCCACTCATGGGCCAATTAAAACATGAGAGAAGATAATGTGTTTTTTTTTTAATTTGTTTAATTTTATAATTATTTCTAATGCAAAAATAGAGATTTTCAATGAAAATTTAATAATTCAACCAAAATAAAATATCGATCCTTAAGAAAATTATTGGAGATTCACCTAGGTCATAGGACCAATTCTCATGATTTTTAGATGTTTAATTTAATTATTAGAATTATTTGTTTGTTCTAAGTATTAATTAAATATAAAATATTATTTAAGTGAAAAATTAAATTTTACATTTTTCTTAAATCTCTCTGAGTCTGGGGAACCCAAAAAAACAAATTTCATATTTTTGTGATTTATATTTTAATTATTAGAATTATTTTAATGGAAATTTAAAGAAAATTCATTTTAAGCCTTTAGAAATTAATATATTGACTTAGAAAGTTAGGTAACTTATTTTAATGAGTTCCAAGTGATCAGCAAGTCAAATGTGACATTTTAGTCTGTTTTTGCAAATTTGCAATTTTTATGATTTTTAATAACTTTTTTAATTATTTAAATGCTTAAAATTGGCTAAAAAATGAAGTGTTTATTTTAATTCTAATTTTATTTTTCTTAGGTCT